GCTTTGACTCCTTGAAGCCCTAAACCAATCCATTCTGGAAACTGGGTGTTACAGGTACACTAGTGGTGTTGGATCAAAAGGTGTTCTTCATGTTCTCAACAAACAGATAATCAAACAAAATAACAACATAATTCATTCAAAACTATAAAACTTATGATTAAACCACGAATCATGATTCTTTCTATTAATAACACAATTTTCTTTGGGTGTGATTGTCTTTCTGCTACCAAAACATGCACAAGAGGGACCAAAAATCCATGTTCATCGTGGTTCTTTTCCTTTATCCAAAGAAACATGTGTTGATGATGGAAGAGACGTATAGGGCCCACTGAGGGACAAGCTCTGTTCACCCCCTTCTCAAAATTATTTGAAGAACAATCTTCTCATCCCTTTCTTACCTGATGATTTGGCATTGACAATGATTAAATAAGCTTGAATTAACAATATTTTCCTTGTTAATGTTATTGTTAAAGATCCCACTCATGTAAAAATTGAGGAACATAGGCAACACTTTGGCATTAACAAGGAGCAACTAGGCTCAAATTAACAATTTGTTCGCCTCCCTTTGTTTGCAAGGAACAGGCAGATGTTAGTGCCCTCAGTGCGTGTAATTGTTCGTGTGTCATTAAATTGTTGTTTTCTAGTAGCGACCTCAGAATCAATTCCAACATTCTACTTCAAGTCGTAAATTCACATAATTTATTTTGAACTATATCTTTTGATTATCTAGACTGGCAACAATTTAGAACTGTCGCTGTTTGATTTTGTTTTTGTTGAGAAGATTGTTAATCAAAAAGATGTGGGGGGGGGGGGGGGGGTTAGCATATTTCATTTGAAAATTGAATTTCAGATGGTTAATAGAGATGATAAACAAAGATCATTAATAGTTGCATAATATTGTTAATTTAATCATAGTACTGATATCGATTCGAGACTACCCCCACATCGATCTTTAACAGCTTCCACCAGACTTTACCTTAAGTTTTATGTTTATACATTTGGCTCAGGGCTTAGGCATCAATTTCCATGACTTTGGCATTAACTATCACTTTTAGATAAATAATGATTTGGCAGCCAAGTTGGTAGAGAAAACTTAGTCAACACTGATGTAGCAACAACATGGGTTATTATGTGACATGGTAGCTTGGAATTTTTTTAACAAGTTAGTGTTTTAATGGTAAAAATATTGATGTTAGGATAAAACTATTAAAATTATCTAAATTTCAAGGCTTTTATGTCATAGTGATAGTTGGTCCTGACTGTTGGTTCTAGACTAATTGAGTACAACAATTTACATAGGTTTGGCTCATCCGATATATCCACTCGACCGTAATTTCGGTTAAACCATGGTGTATTATTAGGTTTTATGCAGAAAAGTCTCATTATTTTGGAAATTTTTTGACAAAGTCTTAAATCTTTTTTTCCTTGAACAGAAAATTCCCGATTATTTAACATTTTGTCACAATTAACGAAAAAAAATCATTTTTTGTATTTTAGCAGAAAATGATAGATTATGTGATTTTTCCAAAATAATGAGATTTTTCTACATAAAACTTGCGTATTATTAATATAAATATTAGTAATATAAATAATATTAACAGTACTTGATTTGACTAAGCGAGTTGACCCGGTTTAACTTGTCGATTTGACTAAGCGAGTTGACTCGGTTTAGTTTGTGGATTCGGCCTGACTTCCGACTCTTGCTTGTCGGTTCAGTTTGTCTTTACCGACTCAGGCTTGTCGGTCCGGCCTACCTAATTCGATATTTTTAAGAATCAACCTTTAAGAACATATATGACATATGTTATAAGTTTATCATCGAATAAAATACTTTTTTTTTTGAAAGGCTATTTGAAGAAAATACCCTATTACCTAATATAAAACTTGGTTTAATTAATAACTAAATTGATTATAATGTATTATCATATATAT